AGCAGGGTGAATGTATCTATTATTTTGAGGACTTTTGTTGTACCGATATAATTGATTACTTTTGATGTACCTATATATTTGCATATCTTGTCTGTGACGATCTATATGACGCTGACTGTACGTTATATTCCATTTTTTAAATCGGGAAGCGACCTTGTATAAAAACAAAAAATAACACAAATTAGCCAATGTACATACGCAGGTTTTCCACGAGTGGTGCCGACCGAAGGTGTGTCAGCTTTGGGCGCTCGCCGCCGCACGCTGGACTGCCTAGCGCCGCTCGCACCGCCGCGCCGCGGAGGCTCGCTGCGTGCTCCCCGCCAGCAGCCGCCGGAGAAGCCGACCATGGCTTTCTGCAAGCGACGCCTCTCCTGGCCTGAAGTAGACAACTCCGTCAACTCGGGGTAAGAAATATTGAAGAATACGTGATTTGGAGAATATGGTTTAAATCTTATAAACTACTAAATACACTCAAAGCAGTACTTCATTGTAGGTAGTGAAAGTCTATTTCTAGTAAGATGGGGTTGATTATTACCTAAATGAAGCAATAAAAATGATACTGCAATGCTTTTACTACGGACACCATAATATCCTGTAACGAGTGGAAAGTGGAGTTAATTTCGGTAATGGCCGCTCATAAAGATGACAGTTGTGACCTACTGTGTTCCACTGTTGTTGCTCTATGTGCAAACAATAAAATTTCAAAACGGGTTGGACCAAAATATTGAATGTATGAAACATTTTTTTTCATCATCGAAAATATTTTATATCCTTTAAAAAAAACTGAATTGATTTACTTGTATACGATATTTATAAACTAGCATATTATACTTTGACAATTGTTTCCGAAAGGTATGATGTGAAATGCGGGGAAAATGATGAATAGAAATTTACATAAGTTGTTGAGTCGTATCATAGCCGACGGGCGCGATCCGTCGTCGGCGCGATAGTTTGCGGCACCGGCACAATCCACAGGACAGGTGCAAATAAAGGGAAGCCCGAATAACCGAGAACTTTCTGTGCGGCAGTAGAATAGATTGAAACTGCCTGTTTCGTAGGAAAACTTTGTTATAATTTTCTACGTATGGAGTGTGGGTTTAGTATTAAGTGTAATATTTGAATGTTACAATCATTTGTATGAAATGTGTATGAATGTTAATATGTAAGTATCACGTGTTTCTAGTCCTTATTTATTGGCGAATAGATTATTACAGGTTTGGTTTTTGAATGAGTAGAAATCAAAAATATTGGCTATTCTAATCCTAAAGGATATCAAGAATTAAGTAAAAACATGACTATCTTGTCTACTGTATCCAAAGGTTTCCACACTGATCAACCTTTTATACTGATTTTATGTTATACATGTGTAATTGAGGACAAAGTACTTTTGGATTAGAGTTGAATATTTGTATCTAGTACTTGTAATCGTTGTTATTTACTAACGTATTTCCTTATACTTCAAAAAGTAAAAAAAAAATGTCACACCTTTAAATTAAGTCAGTATAAAAAGCTCCTAAAGTAATTTCATTCCCGCGTGGGAGTCAGACCTCCACAAAGATCCGGTGCTACGATTGCTATCTAGTTTTGCATTGCTAATTCAGTTTCCTACCACTTCCTGAGGTAAAAATACTAGAGTGCTTGAAGCGTTAACTTTTTTCAAGGTTATTCGTTTTTATTGACGAGTAACTTTAATCTCCTATGGCCTTATTAGATCTAGTGCCTAAAGTATTATTCGTCTTAACTTTATAAAGTGAAATTCGTAATAATATTTTACAACAGATATTTTTAAACTAAATTTTCGAGCTAGAAAAAGAGCGTGGGTCTATTGAGGGGCTTGAGATCTATTGTTACTAGTGTTAGTGAATTCTTAAAAAAGTTCAAAGAATATACTAAACACATCCTACGCTGCGTAAAGTATTTTGATAGACAGATTATATAATGTATAATTTTACCCGTATATTGTTAAAAACATAAAGTTCTTGTTGATTTATATAACTTTTTTCATATTGTATCTTCAAACCGTCCTTGTCATTTGCGTGTGATGCGAGCTTCCGACAACTAATTACTTTTCTTTATTCGCTCGGCGTCCCCGGGCTTCGCGTATATGTCGTAGATGAACACCTAGTTATTCAAACAATTTTGTCCTTTATGATATCGTGGTTTTATTATAAAAAAGGAATACTTTAATGATACGCTAAAATAAAATAAAGTAACGATTTTTCTATAACTATGTTACTAAAAATTAATTAAGTAGATTAACAATTTTAATTCCTGATCATCCTACTTTAACAAAATATGTCTGCCACTTAATTTGCTATCTTAATAACGTATCAAATATCCCACCACTTGTATTCACACCTTGTAAGTATTGTTGGTCATATTATAAGGTATTCAATGATTCAACTTAAATAATGATCTATATTTTGACTGATTGCTAGGGTTCAAGATACAGATGGATCGTATTTCGAGAGCTTCACGGCTCTGTCTTGGCGACAAGAGAATCGTCGCCTTGCAGCGCTGCGTCTGGCGGAGGCTCGTGCCGAGCGCCCGCCCCCGGCGCCCCATGATCTTGGTTTGCCCAGCGTGTCCGCACAGCTCTCGCACAAGGAACATGAACATTTGTATACTGAGGTAAACTTTCTTCATTTTAATGGTTTACATAATTTTCATAACCTTTTTCTGTTAACAAGTGTAAGTTGTGTTGGCAGCACATGCCTTTTTATCAATTGTAATTTCGCCGTTTTTGCTTGATGTATCCTTCTGCATTATTGTTTAATAAATTGTATCTTTTACGAAATATAAGTGGAAAATATTTACCTACGTAAAAGATATTCAGTATGACAAAAACACGAATTTCTTTGCGTACCTCCGCAGTGTTCCTTTAATAAGTCAACCTTTTTGTTACTACAGATAATAACGGACTAGATACGGTTAATTGAAATCAAACACGCAACCTTTGTCGTATATTTCTAATCGTGAACTTTTACAGCAAATTTAGCGAGTGCGTAATGTGCCTGGTCTTTTAAAATGGCTCTTTTTCCAAGTGATGCTCCAAACTTTTTTGTAATAGATTGCAGAACTAATATAAAACAAAACATGCTAATTAATATGGGAATAAATGAATATCTTACTAACTTTTATTTGTTTTATAAACTAGGTGTTGTATTGCATTGAGAATGCGGTAGGCGCTCCGGCACCTGACGGTCAATTCGCGGCCTACAAGGAAGAAGTGATTGAATACGCTCGCCGCGCGTTCAGAGTCCCAGCGGACATCCACGCGCGAGCTCTTCGTGCGGCTGGCAGTGAACGACCACCAACTGTCGTGCTGGGATGTGCTGTTATTGAAGCAGACGGACTCGAAGCTAAAGATGCTAACGGTACGAAAATATCAAATAATATGTAGTTGAAATTACGAGTATCTAGTAGTAACTAATGTTTCTAAAGTAGATTTTGATTTTGATAATAGGTACATTAAATAAAATTGATGGTTTATGCAACTAGTCATTAGTTTGAGATATTTATTATCACAATCATGCAAATACTTTTCACATTAAAATCATGTTTTGAAATAATAGTTATTTGGTAGATACTAGATTATATATTTTATAACTTTGATATACATATTTTGAAAGGGATTTTTGCAAAACTAAAGTAGTCGCTTGTTCCGTCGGGTTTAAGCTTGAAATATTTTCTACCATGCTAATTAAACTTGACATATCATTGAAATGTTCGTCAATAATAAGAATGAATTGTTTGGAATGCGAATTAATTAATGAATTACACAAAGGAATAAGGTAAATGTAATCGTTAAGACTGGATGGTTCTTTCTCAGTAGAGTCATACTTGGTGATGCTGAAGAAGTAGTGTTTTTAGGATTTAGCGATCCGTATTGCATGCTCGGAATTCAACCGGCTTCGTTGCCGGCGTCGCCACGGGCATCGGAGGACGAGGGGCGCAAGCACGGCTTCCGACTGAGTTTCAAGCGGCGCGATGGTCGGCAGCAGCGCGACAGCCTCGGCCGCCTGCCCGCACGTTACATCCGCGCCACTAGTGTTAGACCGCACACATTATCGCCCAAATGGAATGAGACTTTTAAATTGTAAGACTACAGGCACATTTTACATATCTGTATTGTCGTATCTCTCTGCTACTCTTTTGGTTATTTGTGATTTATTGTTTTTGGAATGTGGTTTGCTTTTATTTCTAGTTCTTTAATTTTTAAATGTGTAGCTTAGAAATCAATAAAAGGTGTGCATATTTTCTTAAAGCTATCATTAAATAGCTGCTATTTTTTTTGTAATCTGTCCATGTACAACAATATTGGATAACAAATAATTGTATTTTCTCAATCTTTGTTAACTTCGTGTTGTCGAAAATGTTTCATAGTTACATAAGTGGAAAATTTTGTTAGAGTTATTTGTACGTGTTATAAATTAGATTTGTGTTGTATTTACATTGTTTTGAAGACAAATGGTGTATTCTATACGATAGGTTCTAAATGTTTCGCTAAATGCATGAACGTGTCGATGTTGTGTTAGATTGTGTAAAAAACATTGAGAGTTAAACAGAAATGCTACCTAATTTCTAAACTAACTCTGCGGCAGTGACATTGATGACATATCCTCGGATGTTCTGCACCTGGATATCTGGGACCATGATGACGAGAGTTCAGTGCTGGATGCGGTCTCCCGACTGAATGAAGTGCGCGGCGTACGCGGCCTCGGCCGATTCTTCAAGCAAGTCTGCCAGAGCGCCCGACAGGGTAGTCAGGATGACTTTCTTGGTAAGCAATGCGCAATCTTGACAATCAAGCGCTTCGCCATTCAAATTGCACAGCGTTGAAACTTTCTTTCGTTTTTATGATTTACTCCTGTTTTTTGAAAAGGATGTGTGAATATTCCACTGCGAGAAATACCATCAACGGGCGTGGAAGCGTGGTACAAACTGGAGGCGCGATCGCAGCGCTCGTCAGTACAGGGACGTATCAGACTTCGTCTCTGGCTGTCGGCCCGGGAAGCTGGTCGTCACGATGACGACAATTGGCAGCAGGTTAACTGATTCAGATATTTTAAATAAATTGTACTTAGAGCAATTTGCATATTGTTTGGTGTTAGTTTTAGGTTTAAACGTTTGGGTTAGATATATCAGGAATTTGAGATAATAATGAGAAAAATGTTTGTACCAAGGTACGACAACACGAGCGTCTGTTCGGTGTATTGCTCGCGCATGAAGTGGAAACTGCAAACATCTTGAGGGCTGAATGTGGCGGCGAGAGCGAGGCCGGGAGCAGTGCGAGCGCGGCATGGGAGGGCGAGCTGTGCGGAGCGGCGCAGACTTTACTGCACCAGCACGCCGTGCAAGGGGATCTGAGCACGCTGCAAGCTGCGATCGCTCGCTTTGCAGCGGCCTGCCGTCTTAATAGCGAAGCTCCGTTGGATCCAAAGTATGTTACTACTACATTTAAGCTTTTTAATAACTAACTGCTGCCTGATTATCAACGGTATGTTCAACATCGCATTTATTTGACTTTCATTGAACCAATCTTTTACGGATTCGCTGATTGTAAAAAAATATTTCTCACCCAGGTACATGTACAAGCTTCTAACAGAGTTGGAGAGAACATGGTGCGCTCAGGAGACCCTGTCCGGTGGCGGCAGCGGCGACGCTGGGGTAGGAGTATCGCGTGACGAAGAGCGTTGGCTCGCCGACTGCTTCGGAGAGTTCGTTGACCGCGCTTTGCACCAGCTGCGCCTGCACCGAGACTTGTACCCAGTGCTGCATAACATGAGTCTCAATCAGTAAGATTTATTTTAAAATACTTTTTATTTTATAATTAGTTTGTTAAATTCATTTAATTTACTACATTTATATTGCAGATTAGAATATCTGTTGCGATGCCTAAATCAACTGTCGCAAATGAAAGCTTTCTGGCGTTGCTGCCCTTTCAACAAGGAAATAAGGTAACCTTATTTATTTTAAGGAAATCCCTTAGGTATAATATTGAATACGAAATCTATTTCACTTCATCACAAAGTAATGTTGTATTTTTCTATAATACATTTACCTATTTTAAAAACACATTCAGTTAAATTCACTGAAAATCTAAATTTTAGTGATTGACAATTCGGTTTTAAGCAGTCTTATTTCAATTAACACTCCAGAAATGTATATGTATATTCTACAACATGGTAGAACATCCTACTTTTAATTAAACCAGTTGTCGAGAATATAAAACGCGAATTACACTTTTGTTACCCAAAGATGTAGGAATTTACATTCGGTACAGTCTTGATAAATTTCACTCCTTCATTTAATTGAACATCTGTGTTCGTTTTCGCACCAAAATCGCTTTAACCCTCTTAATAATTCATTAATCTTAACACAGGCCACATATTAAGAACGCAACGACCTCAGTCATTTTCATACTGAATCGAAACTAAGGCTCTTAGTAACCAATGAATAGCTCAGCAGTTAGTAAGTAAATCAATATAATTTTCTGAATGAAATGGGGATATTCAATTGTTATTTTTTTCTATCCTAGAAGTGAAATAGTGGGCGCTCTTCGTAAAGGTACCGCGGAATGGTACGAAGCTCTCTGTGCCCAGGATACGAGGTCCGAACGAGGCGAGGATTTGGTCAATTTGATCACCTTGGTCCAGATAGACTTGCAGCAAGGATTGACTTACTATCATCCATTGTTTGAAACGTAAGTCTTAGTTACATTTTTTGAAATGCTGCCGTAATACCGTCAATAATTTTACTTTAAAAATGTACCGTATATCGTTAATAATAAAACAAATTTCGATATAATAAATATCTCCAATGGTTTTATAATTCTTTTTAAAAAGCACTTTAATTTAATATAGTTTTCTGATCGGCGTCAAGTATTATCTAGATTTTCTTGGTTGACGTTTATCGTGTTTATTATAATGCTTTTTCAATGTATATAAAGCTATTAAAATTAACTAAAAAGATAAAGAAGCTAACAGAGCGATTATGTTGACAGAACTTTAAGTTTTCTCGTCACTTAACAGAGTCTAGTAATAATCTATTGTTTGTTGTATGTCAATCTACGTGACTGAACATAAAAGAATTTCTATTTGTTACAGAACCAATAACGTGCCGTATTTCACTGTAGTGTTTACGCAGATCGATAAAATGGTAAGTTTCATCAACTTAATATAACCGTTGTAAAATATTACACGAAGAATGGTGATCCTTTTTAAAGTTTTGTTACAATATTCTTAAGTACAGCCATCTTTAATATCGTTAAGTGCATTTAAAGTACTTTAAAACACGAAACTTTGGTTCTGCTATCTAGTTTATAAACTTGTTTTTTTTTCTTATTTAACCATACTAAAAGATATGATAATTTTATTAAGGTGTCAGAAGATGTTAGACTGTGCGTAGAGCATTGGATAACAGAGGGCTGGTGTGGCGTGGCTGAAGAGGAATTATATGATGAACATGGAAACGGAGGTACATTGACCACATGTTCTTTAAATTTTGTTACTCTTATCATTGTTTGCCTTGAAGACAGATCTAAAGATACCTTGGACTGGTTAACTTCTAGTGTAGTGTCTCTTGAAAGCAATGAAGTTAGCCTAAGTATTGTGGAAAGTTCAAGGAATCCTCTCGGACTTCGGACTGTAGTTCTTAATGGTTGGCGGAGATTGTTTTAGAACTGGATTACAGACCGTGTACAAATGCTAACATACGCTTTGTTCTTGTTATTTAACTATTAATTTAGTCTTTGGTGTATCAGTGTGCGTGGTGTCGGCGAAGACGTTGCCGTTCGAAGTTCTAGCGGCGGTCCGCGAGCTGTGCGCCGCAGCCGCGCCTGCACCCTCCCCACACCCCGCCACAGACCCACCGCCGCAACTGCTCGAGGCCTATTTGTAATTATATTTAACTTCGGTATCGTTAAATATCATACACAAGCTATAATTTGACAATGATCAATGTGCATTTATTTGTTTGTTTATTATAAGTACATATTTAGTCCTTCTTATTGTTAAATCTGTATATAAACGTTTTGTAATACTTTTCAATTTCTTAAATGTTTATACTGTTTAACAGTTGGTTCGAGCCCTTGATCGACCGTTGGCTGGCTGTGACAAAGACAATGGCGCTACAGAGAGTGCGCGCCGCTGTTGAATTAGGTAAGTTCTTATTTGTTTTCGTATTACATTTATATGTAATGATGATATGTATATGATTGGTATGGTAATTTCTACTGTTCTTTTCTAAAAAAAAAAACTTTTGTAAAACATTTCTTTGTGTCAGTATTATGAATAATATGTGTAAGAATTTATTTGTTCTTTTAGTTGGAAAAAAAAATAAAAAATCTGCAATATATTTCTTTCGACATCTGAATATATAGCTCGGTTTGTTTTGATACAACCCTAATTCCAAATCTTTATGTAGACAAATTAGTTTGCGTAATTGCTTAGAGTGAGGGATATAAAAGGTCCGTGCCAAGACACAGCGAGCGTTAGATTGGTATCTAAGTCGGTGCGGCACGAGACCATTAATTAGTGCGATACTGATGACAAAGAGCACTTAATCGCTCCTACAATGAACCATTCACGTATTCTATAATATATAAACAAACATGACTGACTATGTCACTTTTATTCTAGTCGGTTCTTTTTTTGAAAAAATGTAGATAAAGTTAAATATTTCGATAAATTTTATTTTATATAAGGTTTTGATCTTAATTTTCAAATTGCACATCTAGATCGACCAGTGGAAGGAGAGCATCTCGTTAAGCACAGCACTTCTTCAGTCGACACTGCCGCTTGGTGAGTCACTTTATATTTTCAGTACAAAGGAAAATAATATGACTTTTTCGCGTTGTGTAGAGACGCGAAGCGACAAGAAAATAATAAACATTTGCTATAGGAACTCTTGTCCTTTGTTTCTGAAATTAACTGATGCTTTATAGAAAGAAAGAATGTGAAATAGAAAGTATAAACGTTTTTTGTATATCTTGCATTTTAAAGGTTTTCAGCTTACATACATCACCGAATGGCTCTACCCAACCCTAAATTAGTGGTTACAAGACCCAAGTCTGGCCCAGTACGAATAGGTTGACTACAAATGTGTATTTTTGATTAAAAGGAATATGTCTAGTAATGTGTGCCGCCTAGAACGTGCGATTTTTGTGTGTCAGTTTGTACCACATGCGTCTGGTGTGGCGCGCGATCGGGGGCGCGGAGGAGAGCGCAGGCGGCGGTGTGCGGCTGCTGGAGGCGGCATGCGCCACTGCGCTGCACTACGCCGACCTAGTGCACGGCGCGCTCGCCGACCAGGGGTACTACGAGAACCATGGTAAGTGCAGCAGTAGTATCAATTTGCTCTATCGATTGTTTTATGAACGATTAACACCTATAACATAATAAATACGTGAATTTATTGCCTTTCTAATTTCACGATACTCTTTCCAAATTTAACATGATAAAGTCACGTTTAGAAACAAACAAGTTCTTAGCTTCGGATGGCAACGGCTAAGGATAGTTGCAGTAACAAAGAGACATGACAAGCTCCGAGATCCATTTTTACGACCAATGTACTCATTCATCTAGTAAACAAAATACGCTGTTAATGGATGCTAAAGATGAGTACCAATAATTTCTTGAAGTTTATTAACTTATTTTACAACAAAAGGAAGGACAGGAATGTCTTGGTTAAGAAAGCACAGAATTTTATTACATCGAATGAAATTCTTGTTATTGTATAAAAATCCGTTTGTATACCAGGGCAAAATAAAACAACGGAGGAGATATGTACGATTGTAAACAACCTGGAGTACGTGCGGCGCTCGCTCGCCGAGTACGACGATGAGCACATGTAAGTGCATTGATAATACCATTTGCCAGATAAATACAAAGTGAAACAATTTGCACAACCCATTTATGTTACAATGCGTTTTAGATTGTTTTAACGTTGTTATCTTAAGATTTATTCTTTCTTTGTCTAAAAATCATTAGGTTACTTATTAGGTTAGGTTATTAGACACTTTTTAGATTGTAAAACCTTGTATGTGTATTCGAAGATACGTTTATTCTACTTTATAGTTTACCGCTTTGTTAATATTACAGAGTATTATATAACAGTTGAAAAGCTTTCTGTACTGTTAAGAGATCAAGTAATAGTATAGTTCCTTACAAAGGAAGATTTTCAATATAAACGCTTAAGAGTTGTTAAGATTTTCTTACACTTCAAAACTTTCTTCTTCGTATTTAATAATACTAGGAGAAAAAGCAAGTGAGAAGTTGTTTGAAGGATGTAGAGTCTTAGTTTAATACGGTTATAAAATTTATATCACTTTGGTGTTTCACCTATATCGAAAATAAAATTCTACCAACGAGCTGTACCCTTTATTTTACGATAAATTAAATAATACGATAAATAATAATTAAACTCTTAGTTCATTCGGTCGGTTATTATATTTATCTGGTTAGATATTAGATATTGCTTTAACATTTAGTGTAAATGACGACAACGCAAGGCAACTGGTTCGTGGCGCTCTCAGCACGCTCGACGCGCGTTCATCCCGCGCTGCGGCGCCGCTTGCAGCGCGTGCTCGTCCTCCGCTGCGCAAGGCGGTGTTCCATCTAGCGTGGTCACCAGACACCTTGCCAACTCCGCAGGTATTCACATTCGCAGTATGTCCGCATAGTAACTCCGCATAGTAAATGATTTGCGAATTAAATAAACTTAGCTTTGATTCCGACATATTTCGTTTTATAGTTGCATAATAAGGTACTCATTGTATCTCAGTATTCGCAAGATCGTCTCTTACAAACTGCCCTTCTAAATATAATTCTCTACACTCTTTATACAAATATGCAAATTACATAAAATCTTATGTTGTCAGGCTATAACTCCTTTATTGGAGTTCTTAGATCAGCATCTATCGTCATTGAATACATGGCTGCTGCCGCGTGCATTTACTCGAGCTTTAGCCGGGTGTTGGAGCGCGGTGTTGAAGGAAGTGTCGGCTCAAGCGGACGCGGGGGGCGCGGAGAAGCCAAGGGTCTACCATCACCGACTGAGAGAGGCACTTGATTTGCTCGCTGAGTTCTTCCATGCAGAGGGAAAAGGTAAGAACGAATTATGCTCTTCTGTTACTAAAGTTTATCACTAGTAATACAGCTACTTATTCGCTCAATAGTCGACATATAATATGTTTTCCAAAATAAAAAATAACAATAATTAAACAAACTATTGGAAAACCTGTCGGTCATTGGAAGACGTTATATAATCGTGTTTTAAGCTCGAAGGGCATTTCTCATATGGCTAGGTCTGCCGATGTCGGATGTACACAGCGGCGAGTGGTCACGGCTGGAGCAGCGCATGCAGTTCCACCAGGCGCAGACAGAGGAGCTGCTGGAGCTGTGGCTGGCTGACCGCGTCATGGACCAAGCGCGCACCCCCATGCCTTCTCCCTATGGCTCCATATTAGTCAGGTTGGTACAGTCTCCTTCTAGGTTTGATTCCATATGGTGGTAGAGTCAACTTTCTTTATAAGTTTCTTACGCTTCGTTCTATCCTTAACATCTATAAGCTTGTTTTTCATACATTGTGGGATTCATCATTCAAAAATTAATCAAGTAAAATTTCTATTCCACATCTCTTCCATTGTTATTAGATAAAATTGTTAATACGTGAACATTGTTGTACGTAGAGTGTACTTCAACCACGACTCGCTGTGTGTGGAGGTGCTGTCGGCGCGTGACGTCATTCCACTCGACCCTAATGGATTGAGCGACCCCTTTGTAGTGCTCGAGCTACTTCCAAAGCGACTGTTTCCCAAAGCTCATGAACAGACCACTAACGTTCAAAAGGTAACATAACTTTATTAGCTTTGTTGCTTCTATTTAAAACTAAGTTGTAGCGGAAGCGAAAACAAAATTATGCGACGTTATAAAATAAAAAGAAAAACAAAACACTAGGGATGTAATGACTGCAATTTTTAACAGAAAACGCTAAACCCGGTTTGGGACGAATGTTTCGAATTCGCGGTGTCGCTGGAGGCGTGCCGCTCCCCGCAGGCCACTCTGGCGCTGTCGGTTTGGGACCGCGACGTGCTCACCGCGGACGATTTCGCGGGCGAGGCTTTCGTGCCGCTGTCGCGCGTGCCCGGCGTTAACAGCCACGCGCCGCCCGACCCGCTGCGTCCGGTTGAACTGCCGCTCATGCAGCTACATGACCGGGGTAAGTGTGTGAAGAAGTGGGTGTTGCAGATTTAAACGGACGCGTGTCGCAGATGTTAAATCGTCGCGAGTGTTCGTTACAACGCGGAACTCCGCACTTTACCAATATAGATGCAGTCCATACTACTAAAAGATTTGTGTGTGTATTTTCTGTTTTTTTTTTTTAAGTACATAATAAGTTAGTTAACTCGAGTTTAATCGTAGTACAGAGAGTGAAACGCCGCTATTACATCTTAACGAAAACAAACTCTAATTAACCACGTAACAAAACCATTTACAATTGACATCTTCACAGGGCATCCGATTTTGCAAATCCTGGAGTCACGTACAACGGACAAAATGGCGATGGATTTCGTCAAGAAACAAAAATTACGATTCGCCGAACAGTAAACGTATTTAATCTCATTACTTCTATTTCAGTTGTCTCTTCGTTTGTTTGTGTATACGCACAATGTCCATATAAATGTCGACAATATATAAAATATAAAAAAAACTCTTTTTAAAATTCTAATCGTTTAAATGCATTCATCAACTTAGGTGTTTTTTGATGGTTATGAAACATTCGTATTATTGTAAAAATTACTACAAGACTGTGTCATTCTTCTATTCGCGAGAGATAATCTTGAAAAAAATAAAATTTCAACAAATTTTATATGTGTATAGCGTGCACTTTCGGAGCTTATGTCCTTAGATGTTAGTCTCTATTAGAAACTCCCGACCAAGTATTTTAAGACTCGTTGTAAACTTTTATTTTTATATTTCTTACTATACTTCGTAGCGTCTTGGATACGAACTACTATCATATTATTTTGCAATTAATATTTGCTCAAAAACTCTAACTGTAAACAGCTAAAAACTTTATTTTTTTGTTCAATACTTTAATTTACAATTTTATCATATAAAACAAAGTTTTAAATTCGACGAGAGGTAATTTATGACAGGATTAAGATGAACTCAGATTTAAAAAAAAATCGGATACGAAGTCGAGGATTACGTTTTTTTGGCAAAAATGTAAACACCTCTTGTGACGTCATCAGATTTTGTTTTGAAATTATTGAGTACGAGCATTAAGTATTATAAAATGTTGACTCGACCTTGAAGATGGCGTAATACGAGCTAGTACTTTGAATTGATTGAGATCGTGTCTACGTTTGACCTTGCTAGGACAGACGGTTGTGAAAATTATTTTTTTTAAGACTCTAAAACAGATCAGGGTTTTTCTCTATGAACTCCTATTTTTAAAGTATTATTTCTTTTAAATCCTATACTTGTATGCTATAGAAAATGCACCTTTATCCATGTACCCGCCGCTTTTCTATTAAAAAATTTAATCCTTTTACTTTTAAATGACTGATATTTATGGTTATTTTATTCGATGTCTGTAGATGATGCTAAATTTTATAATTATATAAAAGATGTTCATTGTGTATACACATTTATATATTGTACTTATTGATAAAAATATATCGATGTTTAAAATAAGTAGGATAATATTTCAAATATAAATGTTACTTCGAACGTTGTATTGGTTTGGGTAAAGTTTGAATGTAACGTTAATAATATTTTAGAAACAATTTGAGTGCCGTGAAAACCTATGGTTAACTGGACAACGGAGGTATAATCAGCTACCTTCTGACACTTAGTAACCGATCAATATTTTAACAAAAAACATCCCCATACTCTTATTTCGAACGCAATTATTACGTGAGGGGAATTCGAAAAACAAATTACAGTCTGGAACGAAATGCCCAAACATAATGAGGTAAAGTTTTGTACTTGCTATTGTAAAATACTCTTTTTATATTCAGCCTGTTAAATTATTTTCAGAGCAAAAGTTTTTAATGTGTCTTATAACCGCTTTAAATGTTTATGGAATATTTAGCCGTTAAATATTATAACTCCGTTGAATAAGAAATATCCATATCTATGTAACAATCATATCGTGGAGCTTAAAACATATTTTGATTCCAATTTATAACTATAAAATAATTGGCAAAGAAAACCCTTTTCAAAATGATGTAATTTGACCACTCAAAACGTCAATTAAAATTACGAAATTAAATTAAAAATTTTAATACCCCCGACGCAAAGAAAGCTTTCTAAAACACATATCCAGGTGACTTGTAAATTTATGAATTTCTTGGAAAATATTGATTTGGAGCCACTAAACTTCGACAATTAGTAAGTCTTTATCGAAAACAGTCAACTTTTTGTCAACGAATATCATTAACAAACATAAACGCCGCAGTTCAAGACTCGACTAACACTTCCCTCTTTTTGTGTCGGGGGTTAATTAGGCTATACAAAAAGTGATTTAAACACATCATACATGAAATGTGTATATTTTGTAAATTGTACAGATCAAACACACTATAATAATTTGTTGCACTATCACAATCTGTCCAATATCTAACAGTTTTAAAAAAAAAATCTATGAATAACCTATTTAATTTAGATTTTTAAAAATTCTACCACGATATATGCTTTTACTCTGACATAGATATTCAGTAGATTAGAAAAATGTTTAAACAAATATATATGTTTTATTATGTGGACGCCTATGTACATATATTGCATTATTGAAACAATATATATGTATACCTAATTGTGTATGTAACGTAATATGTTCCTAGCTTTAAAGAGTAGATCAATGTATTTATTTATATTCTTTTGTTGTGACTATAAAATAAATAAAATGACAAAATAATCGTTTTCTTTATCCCTGACCTCCCAATTTAAAGTATAATATATACAGAAAATAAGAAAGATGTTCTTAACCTACAGTTATACGAAGTGATAACTTCAAATACTTAAGGTGGAATTTCAATACACAAATACAGTAAGAAAAAAGTATTTTTAGATAAGTAGACACCACGACATATCGTTGTTAACAGTCTAATAGTTATTACTTCTATACAGGAATTATAAAAATCAGTTAAGAGCACTTTAAGTCTACAAAGTCTGCAAAAGACTCGAAAATATTAGTCATATAAAACACTAAAACTAAAAAATTAATTCGTTTATTATATCGCGATTGTGTTTTTTTAACTTTAAAGAAAAAATGAAAAGCAAAAATAAAAACATTTATAAAAACAAGCTGTAAAGCGAATATTGAATTTGGTTAATGGTTGTAAATGAAGTGAGTGGGCGCGAGTGAGGTGCGCGGTGGGGGAGCGGAAGGCAGATGAGTCGATTTATCAGCGGGCCGCCATTTACCTGTAAAGGATATTCGATTAAAACGGATACCCACCGCCTCTCACTTTTTGCAACTTCAATGAGATATTTTTATAGAACCACTTTACATAAACATCTGCCCTGTACAAGTAAATTGACAGGAGAGTAACTTGAAATGTAGCTATCTTTTTCTTCTGCTTCCATTTTTTTTCGTAATTTTTAAGGCTTGCGACGAAGCGCGTAAATGTCATATTGTGTTTGATTACGTGACATAAATATAAACCACTTTCCCTCTTTTCTTGCGATATCTGAAATTTTACGTATTGTCACTGACAAATAAAAAAAATCAACCTAGGATCTGGTAACAAAAATAACCGCTAAATTTGTAGTTTACTTTACATAATTATTCCAGAATATATTATATTACAGTATCGGTTCACTGTAAAGTTTAATCAAAACCTAGTAATGGAATATATTTGCAAATGCAATATTCCAATTCGCGGTAGCGCTGGCGAAGGCTGCTGATTAGATATCCGGCGTCACAAACAATTGAAATTTCCAAACAAACATCACTGGTTTCAGGAATTCACTTGTGTTAATTATTACTGCGAAATATATTATTATCATACCAGGAAATATTCATATATACTACTAATATATTTTGTATAAATCTACTATGTCTACATCTGACTATGTTCCGTGGTTCCCACTATATATACTATCAACAGAATAGGCTCATATTTTCTTAATCAACCTTAATCGTGTATTAATTTTCATACATGCCATCACCATTTTTATTTTCTTTGCTTGAAAGTTGGTTTTGTTTTGTAAGTAAATAAATAAATTAATAAAAAAATAAGTCCGTAATATGAGGTTTTATACAATGTTTAGACTTTCATCCAATCATACATTTTTGTAAACCATATCGTATTTATTCATACAAATATAATTTAATTAACCTTTTGAGTACTTAGTCATTATAAACATCGTAGTTATACAGTAGATGTTTATAAATCAAAAATATTGAAAATTGAATATTGGTGGAAATGCCAAAAGCAAAATATCACAGGGCAAGCACACGTCAAAAGCCTTTGTTGTGCTTACATATAGAAAAATCATTGTTCGTACGAAAATATATTTTCTGTACGCCATCGAAAATTTTATTTTCACCTCGGGGATGATTTTGTTAAAAAACGTTATTTCTATGTGCCATTGTGCTATTTGTAAAGCGAATTGCTGGAAATCAAATTTAGAAAATAAGGAGCTATACTATAGGAAAGTTGCTAAGCCAAAACTTAAGTAAGTATGGGCGAGTGTATTTGGATATGACGGTCGATAGAGATGTGTGGAAGAGTAGAGAGTACTGAACACACTCTCCGTAGTATTGAAAAGGGCAGGATAAGTTTTATTTGAAAGCAGTAAATATCGTTAGCAAACATGATAGTGGTATATTTGTATTGTCAACCTCAGTTTCATTAACTCTGGATTACCCGCATAATTTCGAATACTCACTGGCTCCCGTATTGTTAATTGGCTTTTACGTCGACCTATTTCACTTTGGGTGGCCAAGTTTGAATAGAGAACAGTGTGCTTACAGCAAACTTAGTTATTACACAGTATTTACTTTGTATTCTAAATCCTATTCATTTGGTAACTTGTTTCGTTTAAAAATAATCAAAAAGATAATTTAACGGTATGTGATATTGACGTGGTTATGCAACTTTATGTATCAAAGGTTGTTTTAAGCGACATATTCAAATTTATCATTAACGGTATTAATTAGTTATTCATTTAACAAAATATGTGTTGACATCAATATACCTAGTTAGTAAAATAATTCGAAATTATAATGTGTAATCGCTTTGTTCAAACCGTTGAGGATTTAATTCTGTCATGTGTTTTGTAATATAATAGATTAGTTGTGACTGTGTTGTAGACTGCGCGTAATTACAATTCTATTTTTAATAATACTGTACTCTCTGTCACAATATTTTCAAATGTACTTTTGTGATTTTCATGTATAAAACCTTATTAAGAAGATAATAGTAAACTGAGCTGTAATAGACAAAAGTAATAATGTAATAATTACCTGACATCAATGAGCTTATAGGTGTAGATAATCTTATTATAAAAGAATCGAAGCTTTAGCGAACTTTTATCGCTGCTATTCTACTTAATACTTATATTAAAATACATTCAAATCATATACCTATACT